CTTTCCATACTTATAACTTTTATTTAGAGAGATAGGATAATGGTTCGTGCAGGGAGAATGAATCATAACGGTCTATATTTATAACTTTTGTTTAAAGATTTATCCATTTTTTGTTAGAAAATAACTAAAATTCAGTAATATCACTCTCTTCTGGATGAACAACCTCCTTTCAAATTTGGGTAGTGAAGATATTAAACCTAATGTGTGGTAGGTTTCTTATATATGGAAGCATATAATTGTTATAAATATGCTATTTTCTTGATAAGATCTTCTCTAATTTTACTTTGTTTTTTTTTTTTTTATTTTATGTTATGGCAAACTAATCGTGAATATGAAAATTAATTAAATAAAATTTTTTTTGGTAGCATTGAAACCACCGAATCTCATAATTATATGACCGCTCCGTATCTTTGAAATTCACCTCATCTGCAAACGTTTTCAATGTTCAAAGCAACAAGAACCAATATTATATGATCTCTATAATAATGATGTTCTTTTTTTATTATTTGGCAATAATGGTATTCAAAATCGGTGTTCGAAATGAATGAATGGCATATAACTTTTTTCCAGTTAAAAACAAATGAAATACGATTGTTGTATGAACAACCTCATTTTTTTTTCCCATGTAACTGATTGATGTTCTAAATAAATGTTTTACAAAATAAAGGATGAAATAGTTAAAGGATTATCATTATACTGTCACTACGGCGGCCCGGCCCTAAAATAATCTAAAACAAAAAATCTCTGCTAATGGGTCCAACTTGCCAAGTGGCGGCTACAGTCAAAAGGAGGCCCATGTGAGTCAGGTCCATTACCCAATAATATCCAACATTTTTTTCTTTAAGAGATTCCCCGCACGACACCGTTTCATGCCAAACCCGTGATTCTCTCTCCCTATAAGTAGAAAACGTCACAGCCGTTTCAAAATCCTCCATTTCCAGAGCCACTTCTCTTCTAGCCTTCAGCTCCACCTTTAACTCTTCTCCCGATTCCGCCGCCAAATCCTCGCTTAATTATCCGTTTAATCCCTTGAGAAATTATTTTTTGCATTGAGGTCCTTTCGATTCGGACAGGGAGGAAACTAGAGATTAATAATTAAGTAAATGGTGGGAACCTCGACACTGGACTTGGAAACAATGGCGTCCGCGCAATTATCCAACGGGAAATCTCTAATTGAATCTCAGGTTTTGACGAATGCGGATTATTTCGATCCCTCAGTTGTCGTGTCGGAGCAGGTTCCGCCGGCGGTGGTTGAATCTTCGGCGATTTCATCGGGAAGTGTGGATTTCGGAGAGGGGGAGAAGAGGGAGATTGTGCTCGGGAGGAACGTTCATACCACGTGTTTGGCTGTGACTGAGCCGGAAGCGGACGATGAGTCTACAGGCGATAAGGAAGCTTATATGGCCAGTGTTTTGGCGCGTTACCGGAAGACCCTCCTTGAAAGAACCAAGTACCATCTAGGTAAGATATTCTTTTTTACCAATTACTTTGGCTAATTCTTTGAATCTTTATCAAATGGCTCCAAAACGTTTTGATTTTTGGTGCTTTAATCTTAATAATTGAGCTAAAAAAAAATCTGAGTTGTAAGCTTTACAGGTTCAAAGAACGATTGATGGAAATTTGCATAACGATTTACGGGGTTCAATTATGTATCGGAGCAATTGGGAATTGATTAATAAAAAAGTAACGGATGTATATATGCTAGCTGTAATTGCCAGTGGATGCTAGGAATCTTGAGCGACTTCTTTTCTAATTTGCTCGTGTTCGAATCTTTTGCTGAGATCTCCTTTGCGGGTTTCTGGTCCACTTGTCTGTTAATGATTGCTATCTGTTCTAAATGTGTCCCTTCGTTTTATATTGGACTTGCGGGTCTTACTTTTACATTTGTCCTGTTTGTCTTTTAATGCAGTATGGGTCAGAAAAATTGTGGTGTGGTGATATCTATTGTGTTCCATTTTATATTTTGGATATTTTTCTGGCCCACTTTCTCATCTTGGAGAAAAAAATAAAAAAGTAACTCATTGAGCATAATAATGTAGCGGTCAGCTGAGTTTGTGCAAGAGAATATTTATTTTTTGGGGATAGTAGCATCAAGTTATCATAGTCCTTGTCTGCTTAATAGCTGAATCTGGAATTATTTCAGGGTACCCTTATAATTTGGACTTCGATTATGGGGCTCTTAGTCAGTTGCAGCATTTCTCCATTAACAATCTGGGTGATCCATTTATTGAGAGCAACTATGGTGTTCATTCTAGGCAGTTTGAAGTCGGCGTCTTAGATTGGTTTGCGCGGCTTTGGGAAATTGAGAAGAATGAATATTGGGGTTATATTACTAACTGTGGAACTGAGGGAAATCTTCATGGAATTCTTGTCGGGTTAGTACTAATTACTTAATGGTTGTTATTTCAGTTGTGGAGTCCTCCATTACTTTCTGGTCATTGTTTTAATATAAATAAATGTCATTGTGCAGAAGAGAAGTCTTTCCAGAGGGTATTCTATATGCATCAAGAGAATCACATTATTCTGTCTTTAAGGCTGCACGAATGTACAGAATGGATTGCGTAAAGGTGGACACTCTTGTCACTGGTGAGATAGACTGTGCAGATTTTAAGAGGAAACTTGTTGTGAACAAGGACAAGCCAGCCATTATCAATGTGAATATAGGTACTCTTTCTGCCCCTGCTGCCTTGTTTAAGATGAAACAAGGAAAACTTGCCAACAGATATGACGAACATTTTACGAAATCTAGCATGGGGATTGTTATTGTGTTTTCACATTTAATATCTCTTCTACATTATCCATTATTTCTTGTTATGCAGGAACAACGGTTAAAGGGGCTGTTGATGATCTTGATCTTGTGATACAGACCCTTGAAGAATCTGGATTTTCCCAGGACAGGTTTTATATCCACTGTGATGGAGCTCTATTTGGGCTCATGATGCCATTTGTCAAACGTGTAAGTAACATGAGTTTTCTTTCTGTCTTTTTATCCGTTGTAGATTGCATCCTGTTTGTGACCTTCTGCTGTAAATATTCTCTTCACTAATGTAAGTTACAGAATGTAGTGGAGTCATGGTGTCTTAAACTTAATATTTGACAAGGAAACCTGGAGCTGGAGTTAATTTTAAGCAAATGAGGAGCCAATTATCTCATGATTTCTAGGTTTCTATTTGTGTTCCCTGGGAAATCTTTTTAGAATAAACAGAAATAAGTGATGTATAATGAACGTCAAGAGAGCTGGGCCTTGTTACTTATATGACGCTGTTTATGATTCCCTATGGTGGTGCTCTAGAATAACAAAATTTAGTCCTAATTGATATGGTGTAGAATATGTTACCTGAAATGGGATGATATTAGAGCAAATGAAGAGACTTATAGATCCTTTTTGTGATTGTATCCGTTTCATTTATTTTAAGATTTCAATCTTTTGTCGGTTCATTTGATTTACATTTTTTGGATTTTCAGGCTCCTAAAGTTTCATTCAAGAAGCCTATTGGGAGTGTAAGTGTTTCTGGCCACAAGTTTGTTGGTTGTCCAATGCCGTGTGGTGTGCAGCTCACTAGATTAGAGCATATAAATGCACTCTCTAGCAATGTGGAGTACCTTGCTTCAAGGGATGCTACAATTATGGGAAGCAGAAATGGCCATGCTCCCATCTTCTTGTGGTACACCCTTAACAGGAAAGGATATAAGGGGTTCCAGAAGGAAGTCCAAAAGTGTCTTAGAAATGCGCACTACTTGAAGGACCGTCTCAGAGGGGCTGGGATTAGTGCTATGTTAAATGAGCTGAGCAGTACAGTTGTATTTGAGAGACCACGGAATGAGGAGTTTGTTCGCCGATGGCAACTTGCTTGTGAGGGAAATATGGCACATGTTGTTGTGATGCCAAGTGTCACCGTTGAAAAGCTGGATGACTTTTTAGATGAGCTCATAGAAGGACGGTCCTTATGGTATAAAAAAGAAGGAGTCGAGCCTCCCTGTCTTGCAGGGGAGATAGGAACTGAGAACTGTTTATGTCCTCTGCATAAGTGATGGAGGTCTTTTGAAATTGAGAGGCAGTTGCTTCAGTAGGCAATGTTGAGTGGAAACCTTCTTGATTGAGGTATGATGCTGTTCCATGTGATTGAATAAGGGAAGACAACAAATAGGCAGATTTCCTTAGGGGATAGAGGTCTCTTGTGAGAAAGAGAATGGTTCCACTATATAGATCTGGAAATTTGAGGTCTGTAACAGTTGTCTCCTGATGTTTGTTATGTTTTGGTTTCCTTTCATTAGTTCTTGTTGTTCTGAAGCTGTAGTTTGTGTTGTAGTCCCAAGTGTTTTCAAAACCTTGAAACTAGTGTTGTAACAGGGCTGGATTTAGTCCCTATGATGTTTGTAAGCAAATTTGATGTTTGAATATTTGGTTCATTTTGATACTCCAATGGTTCACTTGGTCCCCAGCTATTTCTCTTTTACCTTTTGTACGGGGTGTTAAAGGGGGCATTACTGTATGCCTGGGGAAGGATTGGTAGTGATGCTTAAGATCGAAAATATATGCTTGATTATCAATATTTTGTGTTCTTGGATACTCAAATATTTCATTGACTGGCCAGGACATCATGAACAAACTCAATGGAGACACTAATTGGTGTTTTTATATGCTTTGTCTAGTTAAACATAATTGCAATGAAATTGGGTGTCTAATGTGGTAGTCGAGATAATTTGGGTTGAAAGAGAAGATTCACCTCTTTTTATGTTTCTAACTGCGTTATTGCTATGGGACCTTACTACTGCAGTACTACTTATGTGACTGCAGTGTAGAAAATGCTTGCAAAACTTGAAACTTTCAGTTTTCAAATTCTTTCTTTATTTTGTAGCCTTTCAGAGGAAAATCATCTCTATAGTAAAAAACATCCCCCCCGTTTTTATTCGTTGTTCAGTAATGTCGATTAACTATGCTGTTCAGCTCATTTTGTATAACCCTTTGATCTGCTCAATGCATGGAGAAAAGGTACGCTCTACAGAGGCTCAACCATGATTGGATATTTGTTCCTTGGCATCCGGATAAGTGTTGGCAGGACCGCGTTGTCTTTCTCTAAAGTCTTCCACCTGCAAAAGAACACGATTCAGAAATAATTGGAGCTGCAACTTGAACATGAGGTAAGGGGTAGGCATAGGATTAGATGTCCCAGATAGATGATTGTGATCCATTAAATGTCAGGTTCATTTTGACTTGAGTGAATAGGTGGTTATTTTATTTCCATCTGAAAGATATGGTTATATTGCTCATCATTAAACCAAAACGTAATTTCGACCTTCTGATGGCTTCTTTTTGATGATTGACTTTAGAAACACAGACGGACTTTGCTTTCCTTTTTCCTACTGGAAAGTGCAAATATTTTTGAAACTATTTTGGAAATTATCTTACTTGTATCTTCTGACCAGATGATGAATGAAAATGCAAATTTCAATCTTGGCGAGGTTGATTCCAGGACACATGCGAGGTCCACTACCAAATCCAAGGTAGCTGTAAGGCTTCAGTTTATCCTGCAATTGATGTATAAAAGTAAGCTAATATTTGTCCCGAAAACACGTATGTTGCTGTAGACTGATGGGAGTAACAAGAAGCTTACATCAAATCTAGAAGGATCAAACTTCAGAGGGTCAAGAAAAGTTTCTGGGTCATGGTGGATAGAGATTACATCGAGGTTAAGAGACCAACCCTTTTTGATTAAATATCCTGAGGTTACAGAAAATAACACTCAGTATATGATATTCCGTGCCTTGTAATTTTGTTGTGAGTTCTGATATTGATGTCATTTACCATCAATTTTGAAGTCTTCTGCAGCTTTTCTTGAAAACCATGGTATAACTGTAGCTATCCGAAGAGACTCACTAATTACCTGAGAAGCGGATATGCAATATTCTTTAGCTTGATTAGTTTGCTGCCTGTCTTCAAAAAGCGAAATCAGCGATTACAACTGACCTTGTTGGTGTAAGGCATATTGTTCACATCTGACCAGGTAAGACCTGATCCTGCAGAATGAATTTCTCTGTGCTCTTCCTGCAATACACTTCAAAATTTAGTCTGAAGCATTTAACTGGAAACAGATATTAGTGATCGAGTTTCTAGGAGATTACATGCAGTCGCTCCAATACAGCAGGATTTTCTTCTAGGAATTTGATGATCCAAGTTAGAGCAGCGGTAGTGGTATCATGACCTGCAACTAGCAGGGTCAATATGTTATCCTTTAACTGTGTGTCAGTGAGTTTATCATCATCTTCTTCTCCGTAGCCATCTTTACTATGCTTTTTCACCAGGGACTCTAGGAAATCTTGTTGGAAGTTATCTCCAGTTCTTCTTTGAGCAATGATTGAATCTAACATTTCAATCATCCTGTTCCTTGCCTGTCAAATTCAAAGTTTACTGCATTGAAATATTGAATAGGTTTTCAGAAAGAGTTTTAATCCACTGAATTCGTATACCTTCATTGCCCGATGGAATGCAGTTCCTGGAATCTTTATAGGGAGTGCAGAAAATGAGGTAGACATAATTTTGAAATTGGCTCGGAACTTTTCCTGCTCTTCCCCTGTTGGCTCTAAACTCATTATCATGTTACTGATCACCTTCAGAGAGAACTACAAAATTTGATAGGTTTAAAGCATATTAGAGAAGAAAGCTCGGGTAAGAACACACACACACACACACACACACACACACTACAAAGTGAACTTACTGTGGAGGCCTCCTCTAGAACCAAGATTTGTCGCCCGTGCCATTGGTCCAGTGTTTCAACAGCTAAACTATTGATGAAGTTGAAATACTTCTTTAGGGCATTAATTGAGAGGGGTTCAGCAATCAACCTTCGAAGACGTTTGTGTGCTTCTCCATTTTGATGGAGCAAACTCGTAGGACCAAGTACCTGTCTCCCTGCGTAGGAAAGATTTAAACTTACCATCCCATCTTTCCCGGTTAACAATATCTTACTCGCTTCACTTCCAGTCAAGAAGACGGTAAATCTCCCCAAGACAGAGCTCTTAAACACTTTTCCATATCTGTTGTTACATCAAATTATTTAAAAATGACATATTGATATTGCATCTGAATAACAGTCTCTTGTCAGGAATAGTTTCTTTCCATTTACCTCTCTTGTCTCTTCTTGATGAAGCTGTGTATTCCTGCAGGGCTCGAAAACTCGGCTATGAATGAGAAAGTTTCCCCAACAATAGGCCAACCTAGGCTCCCCGGGATACCAGCCATCGTCCTCGAAGAATCCCATGTTTGCCATAGAGCTCTTACCAAAAGTATGAGAACTACGGAGATCACTATAAGCATCAAAACAGTAACCTCCATTCTCTGTTGTGAAACTAAGTAAGCATATGGCTTTAGGTTGCAAAAAACAAGGTTTAAATGCTGAGTGTTTTTTTTTTCTTAGTGATATACGATCTGCTGTGCTGAAAAGGTCTCCAATGGTGTTTTATCATCAACATTTGTCCTTTTATATCTTGTTTTGTTACCTCATTCATCTTCAACATTTGTCCTTTACAAGTTTTCTTGTTCACTTCTTTATTGATACTTTTGGATTCAATATTTGGCTGGATTTTACGTACGACATATGGATCTGATGCGATTTCACTTTGTAATTAACGACCTGAATTTGATGCAATACTAGATTCCAACTTACATTGTTTGTATTAGTTTATCTAGTGCGATATTTTCAAGAACTGGAAGCGTCAAATACGAACTCTAGCTCTGATATTCGGTTCTTCCTAAAAATAATTTACTACTTTTTTTTTTTTTTTTTTTTGAACTTTGCTTTAAGTCAATAAAGTGTACTAGTGTTCTAGGATGGAGAGAGTTATTTATAAACATTTGCAAAATTTTTAAGTAAAATCAAAGTCTCTGAAACATTATTTGTAGTAACTATGTTGAGAACACATGGATAATTTTCATCGTTGATGCATCACTAAAACTTTGGTATGAGTGAGTGTATAAAATTTCGTCGACATTTTTATGTTGCACCTTCGATAATATTATTTACAATTTTACACAAGTTATTATCATTTTTTTTAATAGTGCGATGGCTATAGGCATTTCCTTAAACTTTCCATTAAGGTAAAAAAAAAAAATTAGAATTTTTTATTTGATCACGCTTTGGGCAATTGGCTATGAATTCTTTTCATTGGGGTGACAGCATTTGGTGTCACTTTTTTATTGATCTGATTTCTTTGGCTTTGATCAAGATGTTCAACAATATCAGGTAAATAAATTAATTTAATTCAAAACCATATTGTATCTCATGGAATCGTATTTAATTTTTTGGCTTAGTAGTGCCGAAAGAAAATACTTTTCTATTATCTTGAAACTCATGGAAATATATACATTTGGCGAATTCGTTGCGTTAACAATTGGAAAAAAATTGTACCAAATAAATAAATAAATAAAATGAAAAAAGTCTATCATAACGTCACCATTAAACTATATAATCTTAATGTCTTAATCATTACGATTATAATTGCAAAATATCCATTTTTCAGAACCCACAAATAACATGACAATTTTTTTGAAATGGAATAACATGACAATTAACAACCAAACAAAGATGGTATCAAATGGATTTTCTATCAGAAAGAGATCATCATGAAAAACGCTAGCTCTCACTAATTGAATCAAACCAAGAAATTAAGGAATATATAAATGGAGTTTCTCCATGAGCTCATTATTATCGTTATTGATAAAAAAAAAAAGAAGGAAGAAGCCATGCGTACTTGTATAATATTTAGTCATTTACTGTAAGAACTCAATGCACCTCAATTTATTATTTTACTTTGCTTGCTACAGTTTTGTCTTGTCTGGCCAAAAAATCACGTTCCTTAACAAAGAAAAAGAAATAAAACAATGAACATCCTTAGTCTTTTCTTCTTTAATTTCCCTTTCTCATGTCTTCTTAATTTTCCGTTCTCACAAAATACAAATACTTCAATTTTTCTCGCAATGTTTTTTTTTAATATAATTTCACGATGGGCAGTTTTTTTATTTATTTTTTTATTTTTAAAAATTACCCAGTGGACCCCACTTAAATGTGGGTAAAACTCACCTACAATTTTTGGTGGAAATCGAACTCTGATCTATCACCAGAAAAGACAGTAGTTTAACCACTAAGTTGTCATTCAATTTTCACACGATGGGCAGTTTGTACTAATATTAAAGTTCATCAAGGTTAATGACTCCCCCCGGCATAGTTCCATTTTCTAATACATTTAAAATACTGTACTCAATTTCCGTATGCTCTGTGGATCTTGGTGGTGAAATCATGAAATTTTTGTGTAAGAAAATTAGAAATACTTTTATGACAGTGAAGAAAGTTAGGAAATTTTCACCCACAAAAGAAGAAAAAGAAAAGGAAAAGGAAAAAAGAAGAGGAATTAATGCCGACCACGAGCATTTAAGCTTTGAATGAGGAATTAAAATGTAGGCTTTGTCGACCATGAGCATTTATCTTTTCAATTTTTTTTAAAAATTACATTGTTTTAAAGCAAATTGAACCTTTAATCATGTAATACTATCAACCCTTGTCCCTCCATTGATGATTTAAGATGTCCAGTAATTAAGAAAATGTTGTATCTTCTCTAGGACTCTCTCATGACTTATACCCTTACGTAAGTCATAGTCAACCTTTTCATAAAAAATCTACTCAAGTAATACACACTCTATTTTAATAAATAGTTCACATTAAATTTTAAGATTTCAACAAAAAGTAATACAAATCTTAAAATTAAACGTAAATTATTTTTTCAAGATAAAAGGAGTATAATTTAAATCTTAACCAAGACCTTCATGATCACTCTTTAATATTATACAACAATTATGTGGCATTCTTTAAAAATGGATGGCGATATTGTCAGGACAATTTTTAGCTTCCAGAGCAAAAAGTGAGTCTCATTCCATTACTACCCCTATTCAATCAATCACTCCAAAAATTTTGGGTTGGGCTTGTCCTATTTTTTTTCAGCCCAGGCACCGCCTCACATCTCAACCTTATTTTTTTGTTGGACTTTTTGGAGTTTGAATGTTGGCGGGTTTACTCTGATACTATACAGAAGCCTATGGAGTTCCACCTCAAAACCAATTGGTAATGAGGGGAATAGTCCATGTACTTTTATATTAATATTCAGTCTCTTCCAGCACCAATGTGGGACTAGGATTCTCAATATTCCCCCGCAAGCTCAACATGTTTTGGGTTAGGCTTGTCTTATTATTTTTTTTTTTAGCTCAGACATCGCCTCACGTCTCAGCCTATTACCTATTAATTTTCAGATAGAACACATGAAACTTATATAATGATACTTAGAGTCTCCCAACACTGATGTGGGATTGAGACTCTTTAATAATAAGAACACGATTGAGACTTTAATTGCTCAAAAACGTCGACAAATGCATGCGGGATTCCGCTGTTGTCCATCTTCTCACGCTGCACAACATTGTCAGCACCAAATTCCCACCTCATCCAAGCATTCAAATCTTTATTCTTGCCATCCAACAAGCAGTTCCCATTTTCGAAAACAAATTCCTTAAACTCCAATCCCTTTCCATCATTAGATTTGACACCTATTCAATTAATTATTCATTAAGATTTACTTATCATTTGGTCGTATAACTTTTTTCTTAGAGTTGTATTTCCGTTCATTCGGGTTTGAGTTTGTTCACGAATTTAATCATTAATTGATCACATGTGAAAGATCACAAAGATAAGATATGATATATGAGTAAGTATGTGCGAGATATAGCTGCTGGGAATCATTAATCTTTGTTTTTTTAAATCGTAATTTAATAAAGAAAAGCTCAATTATTTTAGATGGAACTAGATGGTACCCGCACGATGTCTGGGATAGATAAATTATGTATAAAATTGAACGTAATAAAAATTAAAGAAATATTTTATATGTTACTAAATTGATATACAATTTAAAAATACTAAATTAGATAATTTTACATTAGAAGTAAATCATATATTGATATACATGTTAAATATATTTTGTATTCATAATTTGACATCTTTGACCTCTTGTTGTTTATGATATTGTATCATCCCGAACAAAGCATTAGAACTCAATGAGATGATTTAGATTTCAAAGTCACGCATGAGCCAAACTTGAAATATAACCCCGCTTAGGCAACAACACCATAGGTCACACCGCTGACTACTGATCTCCATAACCACCATGCCTTCTCTAATTCATTTGTCTAGGATGCTCCAAAGAAATAAATTACACCATAAGGTAAAATACTTTTTTAAAAAAATTTGAAGCAAAGATTTCATATTAATGCCTGACAGTAAATGGGTCTACTTATCACTATGCCCTTAATTTCATTTTCGCGAATCATCATCATATATTTCAATTCGCCATGATGTCCCTAAAAAAATCAAACATTGAAATCATTAATTAATATTGACAAAGAAACTCACCATGGATGTGCATTCGAAAATCCTTGCTGCAGAAAAATATTTGACCACAACTTGCAAAAGTTAGAAGCGAAAACTTTTTGACACCAGAAAATAATGATTATTAAAAAGAAAAACATAAATCCTAAAGAGAGAGAGAGAGAGAGAGAGAGAGAGAGAGAGAGAGAGAGAGAGAGAGAGAGAGAGAGAGAGAGAGAGAGAGAGAGAGAGAGGAAGAAGAAGAAGAAGAAGAAGAAGAAGAAAAGATTCTAGTGTCAACTGGGATTACATGCCAGTTAAATTTTATTAGCACACTTTATATGTACATAATAATTTTAGTCATATGATTAATGTGATTGGAGTGATTTTAGGCATATGTTTATATTTGATTGTGTTAAAATAAAGTGAATGGATTAATATTGGGGGTATTTTGTATTTAATTTTTTCAAATTTCGAAAAAGCTTTAATATTATTTAATGGTCAAATCAATATGTAATGACATTATTCAAGCCAATTGAAAAAATTTTCAAACCAATCAATTTTAATGTTGAGTTAAAGAATCATTGATGATTTTATATTTATTATTTTTGAATTTCAAAAGGTATTAATATTGTTTAATGATCAAACCAAATATGTAATGGTATTATTCAAACCAATCGGAGAATCTTTTCAAATCAATCACCTTTAATGTTGAATTAAAGAATCACTGTTGATTTTGTATTTATTATGTTCGAATTTTAAATAATCATTAATATTGTTTAATAATAATGCCATTATTTAAGCCAATCTGATAATCTTATTCATATCAATCTTATATAATGTTGAGATTTTTAGTTATTTTTTTTCATTTAGGGAATGTAAAATTGAAAGTTTACCACACAATTAATTGATATAATTTAATCAAGAATTG